TCCAGACACAAACTAGAACGTGTAATATTCCACAATTATAGATAAAAGGATAAGTGAAAGTAGTAACAGATCAGACATAAACTAGAACGTGAAATATTCTCCATTTATAGATAAAATGATAAGGGAAAGTAGTAACATATCTCACACATAAAATGATAGGTGAAAGTAGTAACAGACCAGATACAAACTAGAACGTGAAATATTCAACATTTTTAGATAAAATTATAAGTGAAAGTAGTAACAGAACAGACACAAACTAGAACGGGAAATATTCCACAATTATAGATTTTGTAGATAAAATTATAAGTGAAAGTAGTAACAGAACAGACACAAACTAGAACGGGAAATATTCTACATTTATAGATAACATGATAAGTGAAAGTAGTAACATATCTCGCACAAACTAGAACGTGAAATAATCCACAATTATAGATAAAATGATAAGGGAAAGTAGTAACAGATCTGACACAGACTAGAACGTGAAATATTCTACATTTGTAGATAAAATGATAAGTGAAAATAGTAACAGACCAGACACAAAATAGAATGTCAAATATTCCACATTTTTAGATAAAATTATAAGTGAAAATAGTAACAGACCAGACACAAACTAGAACGCGAAATATTCTACATTTATAGATAAAATTATAAGTGAAAATAGTAACAGACCAGACACAAAATAGAATGTCAAATATTCCACATTTTTAGATAAAATGATAAGTGAAAATATTAACAGATCTGACACAAACTAGTACGTGAAATATTCTACATTTATAGATAAAATTATAAGTGAAAGTAGTAACAGAACAGACACAAACTAGAACGGGAAATATTCCACAATTATAGATTTTGTAGATAAAATTATAAGTGAAAGTAGTAACAGACTAGACACAAACTAGAACGTGAAAAATTCCACAATTATAGATAAAATGATAATTGAAAATAGTAACAGACCAGACACAAACTACAACGTGAAATATTCTACATTTATAGATAACATGATAAGTGAAAGTAGTAACAGAACAGACACAAACTAGAACGGGAAATATTCTACATTTATAGATAAAATTATAAGTGAAAGTAGTAACAGACCAGACACAAACTACAACGTGAAATATTCTACATTTGTAGATAAAATGATAAGTGAAAGAAGAAACAGATCTGACACAAACTAGTACGTGAAATATTCTACATTTATAGATAAAATTATAAGTGAAAATAGTAACAGACCAGACACAAAATAGAACGTGAAATATTCCACAATTATTGATAAAATGATAACTGAAAGTAGTAACAGTCCAGACACAAACTAGAACGTGAAAAATTCCACAATTATAGATAAAAGGATAAGTGAAAGTAGTAACAGCCCAGACACAAACTAGAACGTGTAATATTCCACAATTATAGATACAACGATAAGTGAAAGTAGTAACAGACTAGACACAAACTAGAACGTGAAAAATTCCACAATTATAGATAAAAGGATAAGTGAAAGTAGTAACAGTCCAGACACAAACTAGAACGTGTAATATTCCACAATTATAGATAAAAGGATAAGTGAAAGTAGTAACAGATATGACACAAACTAGAACGTGAAATATTCAACATTTTTAGATAAAATTATAAGTGAAAGTAGTAACAGACCAGATACAAACTAGAACGTGAAATATTCAACATTTTTAGATAAAATTATAAGTGAAAGTAGTAACAGACTAGACACAAACTAGAACGTGAAATAATCCACAATTATAGATAAAATGATAAGAGAAAGTAGTAACATATCTCACACAAACTAGACCGTGAAATATTCCCCATTTATAGATAACATGATAAGTGAAAGTAGTAACATATCTCACACATAAAATGATAGGTGAAAGTAGTAACAGATCTGATACAAACTAGAACGTGAAATATTCAACAATTATGGATAAAATGATAATTGAAAGTAGTAACATATCTCACACAAACTAGAACGTGAAATATTCCACAATTATGGATAAAATGATAAGTGAAAGTAGTAACATATCTCACACAAACTAGAACGTGAAATATTCCACATTTATAGATAAAATGATAAGTGAAAATAGTAACAGACCAGACACAAACTAGAACGTGAAATATTCCACAATTATTGATAAAATGATAACTGAAAGTAGTAACAGTCCAGACACAAACTAGAACGTGAAATATTCCACATTTATAGATAAAATGATAAGTGAAAGTAGTAACAGACCAGACACAAACTAGAACGTGAAATATTCCACAATTATAGATAAAATGATAAGTGAAAGTAGTAACATATCTCACACAAACTAGAACGTGAACTATTCTACATTTATAGATAAAATGATAAGTGAAAATAGTAACAGACCAGACACAAACTAGAACGTGAAATATTCCACAATTATTGATAAAATGATAACTGAAAGTAGTAACAGACCAGAAATCAATTTCAATGTTAAGTTTTGTCATATTGATGAATAGTGAATACAGATGTTAAATATTATTTTATATCTCTTTCTCCTACATATATGACTGTATTAAAATGCGCTATTCCAGAAGATCAAACGTAATATAAATCACTTCAATTTTAATCTTTTGTCTGTTCAAATAGTTTATTTTAAGATATTAGAAGGAGAGTCTCAGTTTGTTTAATTATTTAAAAACCTTGAGGACAACTCAATTCATATATCAGGTACGTGTGATAGGTGTTTTATAAGTAATATGTGTAGCAGGTAAGACGGCTTATTCTATATAAATATTGGGAAGACAAGCATACAGAGTCACTCTGCCCTTAGGACGGATTCTGCCGAGGTTAAATACATACTATATAACAAATAAAGACACGAGTGCTGACAGTGAATTTACTTATGATTTTTGATCTCGTCTTCTAGTGTACAACTGTGTGCATAACGTAATGGAACCTTGAAGATATATATCGTGTCGTTTATATATTATCAGATGGATTTCAAAATAAACAATCACGGCTTCAGACAGATCAGAATAAGAATTCCGTTTAAGAATTGAAAATAAATGCACGAACTTGACTGTCCTTTATGACATTTTCATTCGCTTTGAAATGTGAAATGTAAAATACTTTTGTCAATTATAACAGGAAATGTTTGTCTCTCAAAATGATCAACTTCGTATATAAAAATATACATTATTTTACTAAAATCGTTTTAATAAGAGAAAAAAGCATGGTTAGGTAAGCAAATACCTTTATTAGATAAAAAAAAAAAAAAAAAAAAAAAAAAAAGCCACAAAATTAAAATTAAAGAGCGACAACGTTCCACACTTTTTAATTTATTGTTAATTTCTTTTAGCATATTGCTGGCATTTTCGATTTATACCACCACTTTACTTTATATTGCGAAAAGAACTAGCCTGACTTTAATAGGAAAGTATGTAAATAAAATAGCCTGCTTAGTTTCGAAAATAGTCATTCTAACTATTTAAATTCTGCTATTCCCGTCTAACTCAATGTTGTTCCCTAACTATCATATACAAACAAGCAGTGTAACGATAATTATGTTATTTGATCATGTTGTTGTTTTTATAGTTGAAACTAAACTGTAAAAAGGAGAAATTTACTTTGCAATTAAAACTGTGTGAATTTTGAAAAGAAACTTAATATGTTTGAAATTACGTGCTGTCAATTGTATATACAAATTGTACTTGTAGTTTAGTGTTAGGATATGAATCTAGATAAATTTGATTAAATTTTTTTTTATATTATAATTTGATTCGTACTATGAAGAATTTTAATATTTAACTCCAGACACAATGGATGTATTTAAGCGAAGAAATGGTTAATAGATTCGATGAATTGATGTGATAATGTACAGAATTATGTTTGTATTTAGCTCATCTCTGATATTAAATATTGGATGGCTCATTTCATAGTGACGACACATACACGTTTTAACTTGTACGTATATTAAATGTTGATCTATGTATCTATGTAGGTATTATGAAATGAGTTGAGACGTAAATAAATAAGTATCTGTCATCACTCTTTAGAGAACTTAGTGACGTTTCTTTATCAGCTGTATTTCTGTTTAAGCTTGTCCATTTTAAGCCCACCTCATACGTATTGCAGTTTTCCTCTATTCTTTTCGAAAACATGAAAAAAGTCTATTGTTTTTGTCAGAAGTTTTGTCTTATTATTTGGTAATTGCAACGTTTCAATAATAGTATGTGTCCGAAAGAAGTACCTTTGGGATATTGAGGGACAACACCATCTATAGTATTAAATAAAGCAAAATCAATATGGAGATTGGGTCTAATGGATAATCCATCAAACACGTTTGAAACACGTCTTTCATTCATATTTAGAGACAAATATCATTACGGTACAATGACCACGATGAATAATCGACATTAAACAATAGACCCCCACCATCTTGTCACCCCAGTTACAGAATATAAACACAAGGTACAGCAGGACAAGTTTACACCTGAAAGCATTCCATCATTGCTCGGCTATTGTTCTCTTTGAGTGAATATATTTTTGTTCTCAAGCTTTGTTATTCAAAGGATGTGATTAACAAGTAGGTATCATTTATATTCCTATTGACGAATATTAACAGCCTACCGTAACCCACACTTAGTAGGAAGCAATGGCAACATATTCCTCTACGTCAAGTTTGTATCAAGTCAATTCCATCAAGCCAGCAATACTTTTCATTCATTTACTGGTTGAGAGTGGACTTGATTTACACAATCAAATTTAAAGATAACACAAGGAAGCAACCATCGTATTTCAAGCAGAGACATCGACCTCTTTATTGTCAAATAATAAATACGTTGATGTGAACCTAATTTGGAATAAGAGCAAAGTAGTTTGACTCTTTTCTTGACAGAAGCATTTTGACGGATAATTTGATTGGTTGATTGTTTTTACGTCCGCTTTACTACCCAGTAGTTTGGTTATCAAGCAGACGATATTACATTACCTATGATATAGTACCAGGCTTTGCCTTCACATTTGATGAGAGTTGATAGTGTCATAACTTCAACACACAAGGCAAAATTAGAACACGGAGGCACTACAGAAAGCAGGAGCACGGAGTGCGGAGACGTCAAAACGAATGGAATACATTATCAGGGAGTGAGGAGACGTCAAAACGAAAGGAAAGACAACCTCGGGGAGTGAGGAGACGTCAAAACGAAAGGAAAGACAACCTCGGGGAGTGAGTAGACATCAAAACGAAAGGAAAGACAACCTCGGGGAGTGAGGAGACGTCAAAACGAAAGGAAAGACAACCTCGGGGAGTGAGGAGACATCAAAACGAAAGTAAAGACAACCTCGGGGAGTGAGGAGACGTCAAAACGAAAGGAAATACAACACCAGGCAGTGAGGAGACATGAAAACGAAAGGAAAGACAACCTCGGGGAGTGAGGAGACGTCAACGTGAAAATCACGATCCCCAATAAAACACTGAAAATCAGGTGTTCCAGATGGGTAAGACTTTTTTTGACCATACTGGCACTTAACATAAAGTTCGGGGAAGTGTACTTGTCACCAACGATACAGAAGCACAATGAAGTATTTCACCATGACAAACACTGAAACTGTATTGCTAGAGATAGCTCATGTGATCGAAAAATTTAAAAAAAAAATTGGGGTATCTATGTTGTTTTATTGGTGACTGTTTAATGTCCTATTTATTACTCCCCAGACTTAAGTCACAAACCGGTCAACTTATTTTTCTATACAGTAACTTTCTTATAACAATTTTTAATATACAGTACAAGATGCATATTCGACCAAATTGAGAACAAGTATATAGTTCGGTTGTAAATGTTAAAAATAATTGTCATCCATGCTTTGTCCAAATTAAATAATTGAAATCCGAACTTTTAAATTGGAGTTCATTTGGTTTTTATATACACGTTTATATTACCTTCAGCCGGTGGCCGTGCATGATATTCGAATCGTCGGCAGAAACTAGATATGATCTACCATTAAACGGACACGATATCAAAACTCGTATCCCGTCGGATATATAATGAATCATACAATTTAAAAGTTGATAAATGTCAGTCAGTCTAGGCACGGAATTAGATTAGAATTATCTAAATCCGTGGTCTAGGAGATATTTAACATTTCCAACTCATAACAAGATATGTACATGTAATTCGAATGAATGTTTATACCATAAAAAGGAATTTGTACATATTAATGCTATGGGAACTACAAATGAATGATTGATTATAAAATAGATATTGATATTTGATACAAAAAATAAGCACAGGTGTTGGAGAAACTGAAAGCTCATATTACAATAAAAACGACATATATTTCAACATATTAATATGACGTCCCTTTTATTATGTTGTGTGTTTAAAATGGTAAACTTTATGTATACGTAATGGAATGGAGACAGGCAGGTCAGACGATATCCAATCTTGTGAATAGCCTCCCGATATGTGAAATTTGATTCGTCCTTTCTGATGCCCGTTAGTTTTGAAAAATTAGATTCAAAGCAATCTCATTTTTAATCTGTTGTTATTATTGGGGCTATCTCGCCTATTAGTTTACATTAAAGAAATTTTCTGAAGGACAAAATGGATTTAAAACTTCTAAAACCTTGACCCTTTTAAAACGTACCAGTTGTTTGTATAAGCGTGAGATTTTAAATAACTAAGAATGTTTAACATTGTTGAAATCAAAGTTCTCGTGATTTCTTTAGTATTCAAACTAACGCTGAAAAACTAGGAACATGTTTGTAATGGGCAACGGCTGGTATTGATATTGTAAACAACATGTACTTTGGGTTGCCTCAATAAATCTTTCAAAATAAATCTCAATCAATGTAAAAGTGAAATACATACAGGCAGGTTGTGTAATTGCTAAACAAATAATAACGTTTGAGTCTAACGTTTGAGTCTAAGGTTTTGATTTTTTTTAATCGTTTAACCTTCTCCTGGTGTCATTACCAAATTCTCACCATGGACACGGTATATTTAGCAACATATAAGTATATATAAGTATAATGTACACTGCACGGTAGTCGTATAGAACCAAATCTTCCACCTTCTCCAGTTCCTGTTGGTGTCTCCTCAGTTCCTGTTAATGTCTCCTCAGTTCCTGGTGATGTCTCCTCAGTTCCTGTTAATGTCTCCTCAGTTCATGTTAATGTCTCCTCAGTTCATGTTAATGCCTCCTCAGTTCAAGTTAATTTCTCCTCAGCTCATGTTAATGTCTCCTCAGTTCCTGTCGATGTCTCCTCAGTTCCTGTTGTTGTCTCCTCAGTTCCTGTTGGTATCTCCTCAGTTCCTGTTGATGTCCCCTCAGTTCATGTTAATGTCTCCTCAGTTCCTGTTAATGCCTCCTCAGTTCATGTTAATGTCTCCTCAGTTCCTGTTGTTGTCTCCTCAGTTCCTGTTGATGTGTCCTCAGTTCCTGTTGGTGTCTCCTCAGTTCCTGTTAATTTCTCCTCAGTCCCTGTTGATGTCTCCTCAGTTCCTGTTAATGTCTCCTGAGTTCCTGTTAATGCCTTCTCAGTTCATGTTAATTTCTCCTCAGTTCATGTTAATGTCTCCTCAGTTCATGTTAATGCCTCCTCAGGTTATGTTAATTTCTCTTCAGTTCCTTTTGATGTCTCCTTAGTTCCTGTTGGTGTCTCCTCAGTTCATGTTAATGCCTCCTCAGTTCAAGTTAATTTCTCCTCAGTTCATGTTAATGTCTCCTCAGTTCCTGTCGATGTCTCCTCAGTTCCTGTTGTTGTCTCCTCAGTTCATGTTAATGTCTCCTCAGTTCCTGTTGTTGTCTCCTCAGTTTCTGTTGATGTCTTCTCAGTTCCTGTTGTTGTCTCCTCAGTTCCTGTTAATGTCTCCTCAGTTCCTGTTAATGTCTTCTCAGTTCATGTTAATGTCTCCTCAGTTCCAGTTGTTGTCTCCTCAGTTCCTGTTGATGTCTCCACAGTTCCTGTTGGTGTCTCCTCAGTTCCTGTTAATGTCTCCTCAGTTCATGTTAATGTCTCATCAGTTCATGTTAATGTCTCCTCAGTTCCTGTTAATGTCTCCTCAGTTCCTGGTGATGTCTCCTCAGTTCCTGTTAATGTCTCCTCAGTTCATGTTGATGTCTCCTCAGTTCCTGTTGATGTCTTCTCAGGTCATGTTAATGTCTCCTCAGTTCCTGTTGTTGTCTCCTCAGTTTCTGTTGATGTCTTCTCAGTTCCTGTTGTTGTCTCCTCAGTTCCTGTTGGTGTCTCCTCAGTTCATGTTAATGTCTCCTCAGTTCCTGTTGATGCCTCCTCAGTTCATATTAATGTCTCCTCAGTTCCTGTTGATGTCTTCTCAGTTCATGTTAATGTCTCCTCAGTTCCTGTTGTTGTCTCCTCAGTTCCTGTTAATGTCTCCTCAGTTCATGTTAATGTCTCCTCAGTTCCTGTTAATGCCTCCTCAGTTCATATTAATGTCTCCTCAGTTCCTGTTGATGTCTTCTCAGGTCATGTTAATGTCTCCTCAGTTCCTGTTGTTGTCTCCTCAGTTTCTGTTGATGTATCCTCAGTTCCTGTTGGTGTCTCCTCAGTTCATGTAAATGTCTCCTCTGTTCCTGTTGGTGTCTCCTTAGTTCCTGTTGATGACTCATCAGTTCCTGTTGATGTATCCTCAGTTCCTGTTGGTGTCTCCTCAGTTCATGTTAATGCCTCCTCAGTTCATGTTAATTTCTCCTCAGTTCATGTTAATGTCTCCTCAGTTCCTGTTGATGTCTCCTCAGTTCATGTTAATGTCTCCTCAGTTCATGTTAATGTCTCCTCAGTTCCTGTTGGTGTCTCCTCAGTTCATGTAAATGTCTCCTCTGTTCCTGTTGGTGTCTCCTTAGTTCCTGTTGATGACTCATCAGTTCCTGTTGATGTATCCTCAGTTCCTGTTGGTGTCTCCTCAGTTCATGTTAATCTCTCCTCAGTTCCTGTTGATGTCTCCTCCCTTCCTTTTGATGTCTCCTCAGTTCCTGATAATATCTCCTAAGTTCCTGTTGATGTCTCCTCACTTCCTTTTGATGTCTCCTCAGTTCCTGTTGATATCTCCTGACTTCCTTTTGATGTCTCCTCAGTTCCTGTTGATATCTCCTGACTTCCTTTTGATGTCTCCTCAGTTCCAGTTAATATCTCCTAAGTTCCTGTTGATGTCTCCTCCCTTCCTTTTGATGTCTCCTCAGTTCCAGTTAATATCTCCTAAGTTCCTGTTGATGTCTCCTCAGTTCATGTTAATGTCTCCTCAGTTCCTGTTGATGTCTCCTCACTTCCTTTTGATGTCTCCTCAGTTCCTGTTGGTATCTTCTCATTTCCTGTTGATGTCCCCTCAGTTCATGTTAATGCTTCCTCAGTTCCATTTGATGTCTCCTCAGTTCCTGTTTATGCCTCCTCAGTTCCTGTTAATGTCTCCTCAGTTCCTGTTGATGTTTCCTCAGTTCATGTTAATGTCTCCTCAGTTCCTGTTGTTGTCTCCTCAGTTCCTGTTGATGTGTCCTCAGTTCCTGTTGGTGTCTCCTCAGTTCCTGTTAATGTCTCCTCAGTTCCTGTTGTTGTCTCCTCAGTTCCTGTTGATGTCTCCTCAGTTCCTGTTGGTGTCTCCTCAGTTCCTGTTAATGTCTCCTCAGTTCCTGTTAGTGTCTCCTCAGTTCCTGTTGATGTCTCCTCAGTTCCTGTTAATGTCTCCTCAGTTCATGTTGATGTCTTCTCAGTTCCTGTTAATGTCTCCTCAGTTCATGTTAATGTCTCCTCAGTTCAAGTTAATGTCTCCTCAGTTCATGTTAATTTCTCCTCAGTTCCTGTTTATGTCTCCTCAGTTCCTTTTGGTATCTCTTTAGTTCCTGTTGATGTCTCCTTAGTTCATGTTAATGTCTCCTCAGTTCCTGTTGATGTCTCCTCAGTTCCTGTTGATGTCTCCTCAGTTCCTTTTGGTATCTCCTCAGTTCCTGTTGATGTCTCCTCAGTTCCTGTTAATGCCTCCTCAGTTCATGTTAATGTCTCCTCAGTTCCTGTTGATGTCTTCTCAGTTCATGTTAATGTCTCCTCAGTTCCAGTTGTTGTCTCCTCAGTTCCTGTTGGTGTCTCCTCAGTTCCGGTTAATGTCTCCTCAGTTCCTGTTAATGTCTCCTCAGTTCCTGTTGATGTCTCCTCAGTTCCTGTTAATGTCTCCTCAGTTCCTGTTAATGTCTCCTCAGTTCCTGTT